AGACCTGCCCGACGATAGATGGCTCTCGCCAAGCCCAAAAAACCTGTCCGCGCCGAGGCTATTATAGTTTCGAGGAGTGGAATGTATTCCCCCTAGTAAAAGTACTTGCTTTGGTCATTCTGCGTTGTGTTGCTTTTACTCGACTTGCTCGGTTTCATCATTGCACCTTCTTGCCGGTCATTTCTACTTGTTATTGGAAAGAAAAACAAATTATGCGGTGCAGCATATATGCCGCCAAAACCTATCCAAAGGTACGCGCCCAGCTGTAAGTCCACAATGGATGGCTGCTGATCTGCCGTCACCGTCAGTCATGCATATCCTCTGTTTGTACCATGTATCGATTTTTACTCTTCTCACGAAGTTATCAGGCCGAAATTACTTTCTGCTCTGTACTTTCGGTCCAAAGGCTCCGAACGAATTGGTGATGCTCGTCGATGTCATGTGCACTTCACTTCACCGCGTGGCTATCTGGTATAGCCACGCGGTGCGGGCACCATACATCCCTTCCTTGTTTTTTCTTTTTTCAGTTTTCATTACACTGCAAACAACTTACTTTATTTAAAAAAGAAAGAAAGGCGAGTCAAGATACTTGATAAAAGTTAGTCATATTATAGACGCATGGGAGGCTTTGTTTAACGCTGGACCTTCGTGGACGTGTGTGCGTAGAGTGAGGAACTGTAGCATCCTCATGATCCGGTGATGCCACCGACGCAAGTCTATTTGAGTTCCGTTGTCCAAGGTGTCATTTTCCAGGGTGCTTGGCCTGAAAGGTTGGTAGTATATAATAATGATAATAATAATAATAATAATAATAATAATAATAGTAATAATAATAACTTGACTCACCATGCCACATATGGTTGGTGTTAAGAGTCTGTTAGCGCCACCAGAAACCATAGCGGCAGAGAACCATGCTAATAAAAAGAAAAAGAAGTGGTGTGATGCAGACCGTCAGCGGGTTCAGACGCACTGTAAAAAATGTACGTAAAATATACGTGCATTTTCACAATCAAAAAATACGACGCGCCCTCGTATTTTTAAAAGACGAGTTGTGATCGTTTCTCGGAGTGCGCGGGGCGAAAAGCGCGCGCGACGAGCCGAGAGCCAGCGGAGCATGCCAGGCGCCAGGACGCCGAGCATGAGCAGAGAAGGGCGAACCCGACCCGAGCTCGACGCCAACACCACCTCCGACGCCCGGAGGCCCCCCTCTTCCTTTCCGGCGCATCGTCGCGTTTGTTCATGTACCGCTCCGTGTAGGACGTACTAACGAACTTTCTCTTTACGTTCTCGCGGCTGTCACAACCTCTTGGTTTTTGGCGTTGCCTTATAAGCCGTTCCCTCCATTCGTTCCTTGCGGGAAGCCACGTACAAAGGTATGCACCACTCCAGCAAACTTTTATGTAATATCGGAGACAATATGAGCGTGAACGCGCCTCCGCTTGTCACTGCGGAAGCGCGTTCACGCTCATATAGTTTCCGATAGCACTTTACCCTTTCGCACAGCAATCGAAGCCTCGTGGTTTTTGGCGTGGCCTGTTTGGCTGTATCGCGCCGTTCCCTCCGTTCGTTCTTGGCGGAGCGACGTCCAAAGGTATGTGAACACTACTTTATTGCTTCAAAGAAATATCGAAAGGCATAAAAAGAAGGATGGAGCTTTTTGAAATCTGTACTCCAAAGAACATGTTGTATACGCTACAAAGTGCTACTGGTCCCCGCTCTGCATTGACGTCGGTAGTGTCTGCGGTGCTGCATGAGGACCGAGTGTGAGTGCGTCCTTTTGAATAACTTTTGTATTTAAAATCCAATACATTTGGCGTGTCTTTAAAAGTTCCAATTCCAAACGTGCTTACCTGAAACTGGTCATACAAACATTTTTGAGCCTAGAGTATTATGTTTTTTCTCTCTTATTCGTCAATTCTGAAGCCGTGAAATCTTAAAAACAACAAGAACGGCTACCGTGCATATTTTCGTTGCCGTCGGCTCCGGTAATGTAGTACTGAATGCAAAAAAGAAGCCTCCTCTATCCTACTAGAGGCTGGTGTCCAGCAAAATAATCGCGTTAAATAATGATTTGATCGAGGCGTTTGAAAAATTGTGCATTTCTCGAAACAATGTTAGTGCCTTCTTGCAAATCTGGATAGCTCGCCGAGTGAATTCCTGTGCCCCTTGTAAATCGCGAGCGATCTGTGTGTTGCGCTTGTAGATCGGGAGACGAACTGATGTGCCCAAGGAGGTGGAGCGCGTAGAGCGGTTGGAAGAAATTTGCTGCGTAGTGGTTCCGCATAGGTAATATACATACGGTTGACGTATGTATTTTCACTCGCGACATTTCGGTTTCGATGTTTATGCCGCCGTGTTCGTCAATGCCGCGACAGCGATCGTATCCATTTCGCTAGCAGTACTGTTGATGTCATGTTATCAGGTGGGTGCATTTATGTTGCACGAGCCATACGAACGTGCTCACGGTGCCCACCGTGCCACCCAAGTTTGGTGCCGACGCTCTCGCCTAATAATCGAAGTTGAAATCGGAATCCACTAATAGGTACTTGGGAGGGTACGAGTTTCGTCATTATTCCGAGGGGAGGGTAAGAATTCGTCTATTAGCTAAGGCAGCAGAACCGTAAGTTATGTACCGTATGTCGGATCACGACGCGACGTCATCGCCCGAGATGGTTTCCGTGCAGCCCGTGAAGCATCGCCGGAGAGCTCGGCAGTGGCAGCGGCTGCCAGAGGACAGAGCAAACTCGTTTGCTGCAGCATGTGCCGCGGAGCTCGCTCGCGGAGGCTGGGCGCTCGAAGCTGCGATTCTGCGAGCGCTCTCGGTTCGCGAGGGGAAGGGGCTATAAAGCGGACGAACGGTTGTTTTTCCCATTTCGTTCTGCGGACGCCCAAACGAATAAGCAAGACGAAAAAAAACAAAAAAAAAACAAAAAAAAAAACAGGTGCAACCTTTTTTTTTTGTGTGTAATGTAGATCTTTCATAAATAAACGTTTCTTCATTTTAAAATATTTGTTAATCTGGGTAATCGGTAATTTAATTTGTAAAAATAAATCTTTATCGCAATTATATCGTTCATTGCCAGCTGCAAATCTTGCCAGCGTGCCAAGCGTGCCGGCTTTTACGGTCGCACCGAGTACATTTATGCAGACGGTAAATTCGAAAAGGTTTCCGTTACCTGGTCCATGCAAATTCAAGCGTGTACATAGTATTAAATTGTTTTTTGTAACTTTTTTTTTTCCCCAAACATATATTACTGTTTTGTGTGGCTATGTGACCCTGTGTTATGTTGTGGCGGAAAGTAAGTCATGTAGTATAACTGACATCAGCAACATCTCAAATTATGTGTACACCACTTGACTAACTCTATCAATGAGTGTGTTGGTATAATTAGGCCAAACATCAAAAGGCAAAACGGAAGTGTGCAGCTCTCCGGAATCAGACAGTGCGTATTTTCTGGTCTATAGTCCGCAGACTATGCATGTATAAAAGTTGTTTTTTTGTGTTGTGCAGACTATCTACAGATACGGGTTATACTATGCAATAATTTTTGCTTCTAGATCCTTCGTTAGCACCAGACTGGTCTGATTGGCTTGCAGATTTTAGAATGTTTTATGCCGGGATTAAGAAGTGAACGTCACACTTTCAATCTGTTGCTCAGGCTTTCTATGCCTTGCGTGTGACACACTGCTCGCTTGTATGCCTGCAAGCAGTCAGTGTGGGTCAAGCTGAGAGCTCTGCAGTTCACCTAGGAGAGGTGCACAAGAAAATCCAGACTTTCGTCCGCAAATATCTTTTGTGCGAGAGGTGCGGACTGACAGACTATGGATGTTAGCTTTTCAGCCTACGTTTTGCCCTGCGGACTATGCATTGAGCGCCAACTATCCGAACGAAAACTTATTTTTTAGGCAAAATTGGCTCCTAGAGTCTTTAGACCGGAAAATACAGTACTTTAAAGCACTTGTTGCTTACGCTAGAAAGTTAAACGAACCCTGGCGTCAGTGTTCACTGTCTTCGGAGCCATAACTTCCCTGTCAATCATGTTCGGGAACCGACAGTTGGAGCTCAGTCATTAAATTCAGCATAACATGCTGATGGTAATTTAACAAAAAGGGCTTTCGTACCGTCCTCCGTGGAAATTATTTTGCGCGCCTAATTTTTCTCTGTTTCCCCTGACCTACAGAAGGGCTCTTTATGTCCCTCTGTCCGGTGGTGGTCGCAAGCGAGGCCTGCACCGTTATTGCCATCACCATAGTCTGAAGGTACGTATACACCACTTGACTACTTCCAAAGAGGAGTGTGCTCAAACATTAAAGGGCCAAATGCCAGCGTGCTGCTCTTTTAAATTGGGCAACACTCCAAACCATGTGTTTTATACGCAAAAAAGAAGTTTTGCACTTGAGCGGTCTGCGGTGGTGGTATTTCACTCTCTGCGGGGTTGTAACCTTCTTGTGAATCATGCTAGAGCAGCGCAATTTGAAGCCAAATCAATAGCAACCATAACATGCGGATGGCTAATTCACATACTCTCTCCTCTGTGGTAATTACTACAGGCGTCTAATGTTTCTATTTTTTACCCAGACCCACAGCAGGGCTCTGCCTCGCTCTGCGTCCCTCTGTCCAGTGGTGGTCGCAAGCAAGGCATGCACCGTAATTGCCATCACCATAGTCTGAAGGTACGTATACACCACCTGACAACTTCCATAGAGGAGTGTGCTCAAACATCAAAGGGCCAAATGCCAGCGTGCTGCTCTTTTAAATTGGGCAACACTCCAAACCATGTGTTTTATAGGCAAAAAAGAAGTTTTGCACCTCAGCGGTCTGCGGTGGTGGTATTTCACTCTCTGCGGGGTTGTAACTTTCTTGTGAATCATGCTAGAGCAGCGCCATTCGAAGCCAAATCAATAGCAACCATAACATGCGGATGGCTAATTCACATACTCTCTCCTCTGTGGTAATTACTACAGGCGTCTAATGTTTCTATTTTTTACCCAGACCTACGGCAGGGCTCTGCCTCGCTCTGCGTCCCTCTGTCCAGTGGCGGTCGCAAGCAAGGCATGCACCGTAATTGCCATCACCATAGTCTGAAGGTACGTATACACCACCTGACAACTTCCATAGAGGAGTGTGCTCAAACATCAAAGGGCCAAATGCCAGCGTGCTGCTCTTTTAAATTGGGCAACACTCCAAACCATGTGTTTTATAGGCAAAAAAGAAGTTTTGCACTTCAGCGGTCTGCGGTGGTGGTATTTCACTTTCTGCGGAGTTGTAACTTTTTTGTGAATCATGCCAGAGCAGCACAATTTGAAGCCAAACCAATAGCAACCATAACATGCGGATGGCTAATTCACATACTCTCTCCTCTGTGGTAATTACTGCAGGCATCTAATGTTTCTCTTTTTTACCCAGACCTACAGCAGGGCTCTGCCTGGCTCTGCGTCCCTCCGTCCAGTGGTGGTTGCAAGCGGCCTGCACCGTAATTGCCATCACCATAGTCTGAAGGTACGTATACACCACTTGACTACTTCCACAGAGGAGTGTGCTCAAACATCAAAGGACCAAATGCCAGCGTGCTGCTCTTTTAAATTGGGCAACACTCCAAACCATGTGTTTTATAGGCAAAAAAGAAGTTTTGCACTTCAGCGGTCTGCGGTGGTAGTATTTCACTCTCTGCGGAGTTGTAACTTCCTTGGGAATCATGCTAGAGCAGCGCTATTTGAAGCCAAATCAATAGCAACCATAACATGCGGATGGCTAATTCACATACTCTCCTCTGTGGTAATTACTGCAGGTGTCTAATGTTTCTCTTTTAGAGCGCAGCTCTTAGGGGCCCGTTCCCGGCTTGAGCGGCGTCGCCGTCGGCGTCGGCGTCGGCGTAACCAAGGTCATCCCAAGGTCACGTGACCCCCAAGGTCACGTGACCCCTCCCAAGGTCATCTTAAGGTCACGTGACCCCACGTGACCCCCTGAAGGTCACGTGACCCCTCGAGGTCACGTGACCCCTTCCAAGGTCATCTCAAGGTCACGTGACCCCAAGATTACCCCACGTGACCCTTTGAAGGTCACGTGACCCCCAAGTCACGTGACCCCTCTGAGGTCACGTGACCCCTCTGAGGTCACGTGACCCCCCGAGGTCACGTGACCCCTCCAGGTCACGTGACCCCCAAGGTCACGTGGGGGTCACCTTTGGGGTCACGTGGCCTTGAGGTCACCCCCAGGTCACGCCTCCCCGAGGTCACGTGACCCCCTCCCCGAAGTCACGTGACACCCCCCCCGGAGCATATTAAAGAATGAGGGGAGGAAGAGGAGAAGGGGGAGGGGTCTACCCTCCCCTCAGTACCCTTCACTCCTCCTCCTCAAGAGCTGCGCTCCAATTCGGCGTTACAGGGATTTGTAAACGGCTTTCACTTTTTTACTCAGACATTTGTAGTTAATTTGTGGAATTGAAACAAGCCCACAGACATCAAAATAGCTTGTACAGTGGGACACCTGTTCTACAATTTAAATGTAACACAGATTCGACAAACATTTTGCTTTTTTTGGATCATTGACTAATGAAAACCTGGGTCAATTAAACCAGGATGTCAAATGAACACATTTAACGCAAACTTTCAGTTTAGGACATTTGATACTTTATGAAGGTGAGCTATGTTGTTCTTTAAGTGTCTGTGCCTTATTCGTGACAGACATTATTCACTGCACTATACTCCGTTTCACCTTCAGTCCGAGCGCAGTGGACGCCACGAGCCATCCCAGCCGATCCAGCGCCGGAGAAAGTCGCGTGACCTGCCGGTGGGGCGGGGCGACACAGGGAGCTCAAGGTCGCATGACACTCCCTCAACGCCGCATTGGCTGGGATGGCTCCTAGTGTCCGCTGTGCTCGGACGGAAGGTGAAACGGAGTATAGATTTATCTCCTGAAATGTCAGTTGGTTTTCAACTAAATCTGCATTTTCCCTGGCAATTGCAGGTTTTCTGCACGTAAAGCGCAGGATGGAGCGTGGACAAGTTTTTTTGTTTTTTTAATCGTCCAAGGCATGGAGTTTTACTGAAGGTGAGCTATGGTCCCATTACAAGTGGTCTGTGTTTTATTCATCACAGACATTATTAGCCACATCAGGTTTTATCTTGCTCCTCTTCTTAAATATCAATTGGTTTTCAACTAAAACTGCATTTTCCTGTTAACCGCAGGTTTCTTCAGATGAAAGCGTAGACTGGGGTCCGAACAAGGGGTTCTTTTTTTAACTGGCCCAGGCACATTGTTTTATTGAAGGTGAGCTATGGTCTCCTACCAGCCTTACTTGTCACAGACATTATTTGCTGCCCTAGATTTTTCTTCTCTTCTGAAATGTCAGTTGGTTTTCAACTAAATCTGCATTTTTCCTGGCAGTTGCAGGTTTTCTGCACGTAAAGTGCAAGATGGAGCATAGACAAGTTTTGTTTCGTTAATTGCCTGAGGCCCAAAGCACGGTGTTTTACTGGAAGTGAGCTGTGGTCTGTGTCCTATTTGTCACGGACATTACTTGCTGTATCAGATATTTCATGCCTCTCTCCTGCAATGCCAATTGGTTTTCAACTAAAACTACAATTTCTGTGATTAGCGCAGGTCTCCTCGGAGGAAAACACTAGGCGCCGAGATGTGCTGGCCTTCCCTCATGGTCCAGACCAGTTGTTTTCATCAAGGTGGGCTGGTCTCTCTTTGCAGATCGAGCAGGATTATTTGTATTGTGTGCATGTCAGGCTCACCTTGTTTTGTGTTGTTTCGACAGCCTTGTGCTTAGCTTATGACTATATACATCTTTCTTTTGCATATGCAGGGAGCATTGAGATAGCCCTACACCTCGGAAGAAGTACCCATAAACGAATTTTAGATATAATAAAAAGAGCTATTACAATTTCAATCGTTTTTTGTTGTTTAAAATAAGCTCGAAGAAAACAGCTACAAAGAGCTAAAGAAAAATAATTTACAAACGACCGACCAAACTATTTTGCATTTTCACTGCTGTCTCAATTCTGAACCCTTTCTCAAGGGTGTTTATGTTGTGAGAATTTGCTGCCGATATGATGCCTTAATATGATCCGGCCAGCTTGAGTTGCACTTTCGAAAACCTCCAGGTCGCTCTGGTCTGTTGCAACTCTAGAACAGCAAGAGCAAGCCCCTCCCACAGAGCCCACCACTCTTTCAACATCAGCAGAGCGGAGGTTGGAGAGCAGGGGAGTGGGGAGGAGAAAACAACCAATCATGGTGCAATGGTGGTTTCCTTCTCTCCACTTACCTATTATTCTTGGCTTGCAACAGATTTTAGCAGCTGACAGCTGTGTCTGCAGGTGCATCACATGAGAAACACTAGCTAGCTGCTGTTTTGCTGCGCCCTATCTCACCTATTTTGAAGTTAAAGTTTCTGTGCCAATTATTTTCTCTTCATTTTAGACAAAGCAGCAGAACTGCTCCAAAGTGCATGAATTCACTATTGCATTGCATTGCAATCCCCATAGTATATGGTCCACGTTTTCAGGTGCATCAATGACCCTGAACTTATATTTCAGAATATCGTTGCACAGAAACTTGTGTAAGTGAAAAATATTGGACTGCAGAACATGAGCTACTTCAGTGCCTCAGCTAAAAAGAGATGTAGAAACAAATATTTTGTAAAAAAGAAATGATGAAATGCTTGGCAGCTCTATTAAGAGGGGTTGCCCATTAAAATGCTAATGTACCCCCATATTGTGAAAATATGTGAAAAAAGATGTCGTCAATGCAACGGTACCCATTTTACCAAAGTGCAAGGTTGCTTGTTAAAATTATGTGCATGCATAATTTTAATGGGCATCCTTATACTTCGGAAGAATGAGTATTGTCATATTAACGACTTTTTCCACATTTTTTCAGAATATGGGGGCACGTTAGATTAATGTTATAATACCCATTTTTTCAGAGTATAAGGATGCTCATTAAAATGATGTGTACACATAAGTTTAACGAGCATCCTCGTATTTTGAAAAAATGGGTATCGTTGCATTAACGTCCCTTTTCACATATTTTCTGAATATGGGGGTGCGTTATTTTAATGGGCATCCCCTCTTAATAGAGCTGCCAAGCATTTTCTCGTTTTTTCTACGAAAGATTTTTTACAGTGCGTGTGTTCTTTAGAGGACTATGCCGACGTTCGGCAGGATCGAACCGTTCGAGGGGGGAGGCGACGAATGGCCTGCATACGTGGAACGACTTCATGAATTCTTCTTTGCGAAGATGTTCCGCCTGGAAAGTTGAGCCGAACAGAGGGGGCACTTACTGGTCCGACAACGGAAGCGGGCACCCGGGTCTAACATTTCTTGCGTATACTTTTGTCCCGGACCTACGGCAACCTTGGTCAGCATGTATTTTCTGCTTGAGTTGATTCAACTGAACGGTAGTTTTCAGGCTTGGATGGATTAAGTCCAAAGGTGTCTTTATCTTCCTGCTCATAGTCAACTCACAGGGCGCGCGGCCTGTCAAGTCGTGCGGCGTCGTTCTGCAATGAAAAAGTACTCTGGCCACCTGGGTCTTGAAATCGCCTGGTGCGCTTTTCTTTAGCTTAGCACCGTAGTCACAGTGCTCCAATAAACTCTTCAGCGCTGCAAGGAAGTCGCTCACATTCTCTGCTTCGGAACGAACCCTTGAATTAAAGCGGAAGCGCTGAATCACGGAGAACGGCATAGGGGCGTAATGCTTGCCGAGAATGGCCAGGATCTCGCTGAGGGTCTTGTCTTGGGTGCCTGCGGCTTCTCCAGGTTCCGAAGCAAAGAGTAAGTCATCGGGCCGCAGCAGCTCAGGAAAATGGATTTCGTCTTTGCAGCAGGACTCACTCCTTGGCCTTGGCCATATCATTAGCAAGCAGGGACTCACTCCTTAGCCTTGGTCATATCATTAGCAAGCAGGGACTCACTCCAAGCCCAAACAAAGTGGACGCGATCGTAAAAGCTCCTGCTCCTAGCAAGGTGAAAGAGCTTCAAAGCTACCTTGGACTGCTCAACTTTTACCGACCTTTCTTGCCAAACATTTCGTCTACGTTACGGCCATTGTACCTTCTCCTGATGGCAGGCAAGAAATGGTCGTGGGTAAAGAAAGAAGAGCAAGCTTTCGTTGAAAGCAAGAAACTCATGACAACTGCACCCGTTATTGTGCATTACGATTAAAAAAAGGACCTCCTACTCACCTGCGATGCTTCGCCCTATGGCGTTGGTGCTGTGCTGGCACACATTGGGAGTGATGGAGTGGAGCGACCAGTAGCGTTCGGTGCAAGACGACTACTTCCTGCTGAACAGAACTACAGTCAAGTGGACAGAGAAGCTCTGGCTTTGGGTTTCGGTGTAAGCAAGTTCCACCAGTACCTTTGGGGAAGACCGTTCACGGCAGTGACAGACCACAAGCCGTTGCTCGGACTGTTGAACTCCGACAGAGGCGTGCCATGTCAAGCGTCTCCACGAGTTACAAGGTGGGCGCTGACCCTTTCCAGCTACCAGTTCAAGCTAACCTACAAGCCTGGAAGAATGGTAAGCCATGCCGAGGGCCCTGAGCAGGCTGCCTCTTCCAACGAACGACGGGCCTGATTCGACGCCAGCCGACGTGTTTATGCTTGAGAGGGCCTACCCTGATGCTCTCTCAGCTGCAGCTATTGCTCGAATGACAAGGAGAAACCCCGTGATCTCTCAGGTTGTCCACGCTGTCCTTACCGGAACGCCATTTCCAGTTAGAGGAGACTACATCCCATTTCCTGCAAGGTACAATGAACTCAGCCTGCACGAGGGCTGTCTCTTGTGGGGATCGCGTGTGGTCGTGCCCAAGCTCATGCACGCCCTTCAACTACTGCATGCTGGACATCCTGGAGTTGAAAAAACCAAGATGATTGCCAGATGCAATGTCTGGTGGCCTGGAATTGACGGCGCCATCACAGACCAAGTAAAGAACTGTACTACTTGCGAAACATATCACAAGTCACCTCGTGGCATCCCAATTACTCCTTGGCTATTTTCCGACAAGCCCTGGTCTAGGTTTTGTGTAGACTTTGGAGGCCCCTTCATGGGCCATTATTTTCTCGTCATGGTAGATGCTTTCTCCAAGTGTGTGGAGGTTCATCCTGTTCCTTTACCCTCGACAGATGCTACCATTTCCATATTTAGGACAGTTTTCGCCCAACATGGACTGCCTGGCATCATCGTCTTCGACAATGTACCAGCGTTTGTCAGCAGCCAATACGCAGATTGTTTAAGTCGGAACGGAAACCGTCGAATGCTGGTTCCACCATACCACCCCGCCTCCAATGGAGCAGCAGAGCGAGTGGTACAAATAATCAAAGACAAGCCAAAGAAAAGCGCACCAGGTGATTTCAAGACCCAGGTGGCCAGAGTACTTTTTCATTACAGAACGACGCCGCACGACTTGACAGGCCGCGGGCCCTGTGAGTTGCTTATGGGCAGGAAGATAAAGACGCCTTTGGACTTAATCCATCCAAGCCTGAAAACTACCGTTCAGTTGAAGTAACTCAAGCAGAAAATACATGCTGACCAAGGTTGCCGTCGGGTATCACTGATGGAGTCCGGGACAAAAGTATACGCAAGAAATTTTAGACCCGGACCACCTTGGGTGCCCACTTCCGTTGTTGGACCAGTGAGTGCCTCCTCTGTTCGGCTCAAGCTTCCAGACGGAACACCTTGGGTATCGGCATGGTGACCATCTTCGACCAAACACCTTGCAGCAGCCACCGCAGCCAGAAACCCATCCTCAGGAACAGTCTTCTGTGCTTCAACCTACGGAGCCGACTTCGTAACTGACGGAGCCGACTTCACAGAGCCAGGCTCGACCCAAGGAGCAGTCTACATCGACCGAGGAAACCTACCCTCCAGGGAATCCAACCATGGTCGACACACCCGTCGTGGTTGCACCGACTCCCGTTGCTCTAAGACGGAGTGCAAGAGACAGACGGCCCGTTCAGCGTTACTCCCCATGAGCAATGAGCGAACACCTTAAAGGTGGGAGGAATGTTAAGGGTCTGTTAGCGCCACCAGAAACCATAGTGGCAGAGAACCGTGCTAATAAAAAGAAAAAGAAGTAGTGTGATGCAAACCGTCAGCGAGTTCAGATGTGTGTTCTTTTCTAACCACACTCGTAACAGTTGGAGCTGGAGAAAAAAGCTGACAAAGCAGCTTGACGGGTCTCCTGCTCACTTAACACGTACACTGCAGGGCCAAGTTTAGTTCAAAGCAAAGATAAAGTAAGAGAAAAAGGAACCGACACAACCACAAAACGCTAATAAGGTAGAACAAAAAAAAAACAAAAAAGATGACAACTCGCCATCAACTACACATGTACTCAACAATGCCAAAAATGCGCACAAGAAATTCCTCCTTAAAACAAGACAGACGGCAAACAATAACGACATATTTATTTCAA